GGCGACAGCGTACTCGCTACTGTACATATCCCGTATCTTCTTATAAGCCCCCGTGTACATACTTCTTCCCTTCTTCCTTCTTCTTTCTCATCCGCTGCACGACGTTGGACCCATTCGCGATCCCGAGTACGACATGAGCGACGCCAACAACAGCACGAAACGACCCGCAGGCTCCCTGGACTACGCCAGCCTAGTGAAGAAGGCCGCTCAGCAGTGGACGCGTCGGTTCTCACACTCAATCGATCCGCTGGCAGATGTAGGTGACGGGGACACGGTGCGTACCAGCTGTGATGCCTAACCACCACAACCCTCATCGCAGCTTCTCTGAATCAGGAGAGCCTGCAGTCATTGGAAGACTGCCAGTACATGACGGCGACCCCCAATACGCCATCCTCAATCTGCTTCCCTGACTCGCGCCCAAATCCCGCTTCCCCCGCAGGTGTCCAAGAACGGACACCCAAATCGAGTCTGTCTCAACAGAGCGACAGCACTGCTGTCGCCACACCCGAAGCGCGCCTGGGCGAGATCGGTGAGTCTATTCGGCGTTCTAGCGCCTTTCATTTCCTCAACGCCACTCGGCTCCCGATCCGATACAGACGTGAAAGATATCGAGCATTCCGCAGGGCAGCTCCACGCCCAATGCGGGGTGAACGTCCCCTTAGCCATCAGAAAACGGGTTCAGGGGACATACGCAGTGTTCATGGCGAGCCTCGCGATCTTATTGGAGGTTTGGTGTTGGTATAGCAAGAAACACGACGGTACGACTTGCGGTCTCAAGCACCCACCGGTTCATACTTATACAAAATCTGTCGTGCCTTTAGGTTTGACCTACATTCTATTTTTTCATCCGACAGGGTTCAAGTCCCCGTGGTTGGTGAGCGTCTCGCACAGATATTGAAGTGCTCCGAGCCCTAATCGTGATTTATTAGGCAGTACTGCTAACTATTATAAGTACTGCTCTCGCGACGCCACCGATCATGATGGACACGGAAATTAGAAAGCTTCAGGTAAGGACACCGCTTTGTTTATTCTAGTCTGGTCTGAGCGTCTCAATATCGCAGCCCCTTATTAATCTATTGGGGCGCGACCCTGCGCATGCAGATCGAACACTGCTTCTAAATTGCGGTCAGCAGAAGTAGGTTATCCGTTTGTCTTCTTGCCCCGCTTCATCAGTCTCCGCAACTAATTCGGTTTGGTGGTATACAGCGTTTTCCTCACATTTGCTCGCTCGTTTTTCCGTGAAAATCTCTACGTATTGGCCACAACCGCCTGTGTTATAGTCACTTTGGCTTTTCAGCCACTCGCCGGCGTTCTCATCTCAGTGCGGGACGTGTGGTGGATTGGACCCCGTAACTATCCTTCGCGCCTGCGTCAAATACAACAACTAACGTATTTATCGCTTTTTGTAGACGTTTCGGTTAATAGCCTTGCTAAGATCGGCTTGGCTCGGGTCGAGGACTTCATGGACATGACTAGTACGCGTCCGCAGGCTCCGCTCTCAGCAAGTAATTAATTTTCTTTGCAGACTTCCAGGCAGCGTCAAGCTTCGCATCCGCCGATGTCATGTACAATGTCAGTTCGCCACCGTTCATTTCCAATGGCTACACCGTCGCCGAATTTGAGGTGAGTACAACCATAACTTCAACATACGGTCGAGGGGTGGCTGATGACACGTCCTTGTTGTTCAGCTCCCCGATTCCGGTGTGAACGGCACCGTGTACGCTAATAGGTCTGCCGTCCTGAGCCAGGCTTCGTGCGCCATTCCAGACAGCGTATGCCTACTCCTTCTATGATGCACGCGCTTCAAGTTGAATGTATATCCTAGCTCGCTATGGTGCACCCGGTGAACGACCCCACCATATGGCACAACACGGTGCTCTTCGGCCAATGCACGTACACCTGGACCGTCAACAGTAACGCCACATATCTCTACGGTACGTCAGGCTACTCTCACAAGGCATATATACTCCGCTCACGAGGCCGATGGCATACCCACCCCAAGGCGTCGTGCCCGCCGATTTCACGAACTGCCGCCAGGACTTCGCAAGCGTGCCGCTCCAGTACCGCCCGGTCCTGTTCTGGTTCTTCACCTACGAGCCCCAGCCGAGCGCCGCCCTCGTGCTCTGCACTCCCCACGCATCAGGACAGCCCGTCTCTGTCGCGCTCGACCTTGCGACAGGCGCGACGGACGTCACGCCCCTGCAGAACTCGCCCGCGGACGCGGACACAGCGAACGTCGGCGCGTTCGCGTACAACGGCGTGTTCTTCGACGAGACGAGCCTCGACCAGACCGCGCTCGCGCGCCTGCAGGCGATCCAGCAACAGCTGCCTGGCGCGGTGTTTGAGGCGGCGCGGACGAGGGATCCGGCCCTGATGCGTTCGTTTTCCAGCCGGGGGTTCAAGGACCTGGCACAAGACGTTTACGTGAGCTGCTCCTAGTCACTTGCTGTACTCTCTGTATTCTGACATGAGTAGAGCACGTACCTAAGCCTCGTTGCGAAGATCGTGTACTTTGTCGAAGACGAAGAACCGATCTCCGTGCGCGTCGGCTCCGAATGCAAGCGCTTCTTCGTCGTGTAAGGCCTCCCTCATCTAGCTGGTACAACCGCTTGGACTCCCGCTAACCCATCTTCCTCGACGTTTAGAGAGGCGGTGGCGCACCTGCTCACCGCAGCATTCGCTGCCGTCGTGTTACTCACCGTCGGCCTGACGTTCGGACTCCGTCGCATCCTGTCCGTGCTCCCGATCCCGCCGCGCCTCGGCACCCTGGGCGCGGCGATCTGGCTGACCGCGCAGACCGACGTCGCGCTCTCGCTCGGGGACGACGCCGTCGATGCCCAGCATTTTGCTGAGAGGCTGGCGGGGCATCGGTACTTCCTCGACAGGGCGTCCGGAAGGATCATGAGCGTTCCGAGTGAGGGGAAGGAGAGGAGGGCGTCGCTGCCAGCGAGGGTTCGTGGGGAGTTGGGGGCGGCGTGGCAGAAGGCTACTGCTCGGGCGTCGAAGGGGAGTTCGAGTCGCCCTCCCGACGACGTCTGACTCGGAAGACCCGTGTTCATTGTTCGTCATGCACCTATTTATTCTTCGTTTTCGAGGCAGGTGTTTTACCACGTTGGCCTCTCAGCTATCCTCTTTGCATTCGTTCGCTCTCGTTGGCGTTACTGATCTCCCGCATCCGTCTCCGTCTCCCACATCCCTCCTCTAACAGCTCAAGTGTCCCCATTCCGCCGGTGTTCTCTTCCTTCGATATGCGATCCGTGGTTCGCGTAGTACTATTGTAGCATCTGTCTCCTTCTGTATTGTATGTATCCCGCAATGTACTACACAACGTCAATACCTACTCGCTTTTCGTGATTATAACTGCGGGTTTCGTCTTTCAAGAACGTTACTAGCATTCTTGTGCCAATGACGTATCATTCCCACCGCGAGCCCTGGGCCAGATTCGCAGTCTTCATTGTGTACGTCTTCTACTGAGAAGCATGGGACTTGCATAAAACAGAGGCACACAATGAGTAGACCATTGGGAAGAAGGCTCCATTCATATTGATACAGTTTCCAAACCAAAGATAGCGATACATAGTGAATAAGGATAACGAGAGGCGCATTCGCGAACGAAAGTCTGGGATGGGGGATGGGCACTGCCCTGGCGCGTGAAGGAGTGTTGTCGAACGGTTTCGTGGTAGCGAGTGTGGAGACCCAGAGGTATTTTTGGACGCCTGCCACGGTGAGGCACTTGAGTTTTTGGTGTGGGTGAGGCCGCGAGGGTTTGAGGGGCCGTTTACGAGCGCATAACGAGGACGGCGGTGATGACGACGGCGGCGACAACCAAACAAGTGACGAGGAGCGCGACCAGACACCGCCGCGCCCACTTCACCTCCGTCCGCCGCATCGACTCGATCATCTCCCGCCGCTCGTACTCCGGCTTCGAAGTCTCCCAGTCCGATGGTGCTTGCAAAGGCGAGAGTAGGATGAACGCCCCGGCGACCCAGAACAGCGGGAACACTGTACGACGCACACCAATCAGGATCGAGTTCGTTCGATCTAAGAGGGATGAAGGGAGTACTCACAGAAACCGAACTTGAAGAGGTACATCGCGAGCGTCGGCTGGTCCGACACCTGCGTGTATGCGGGCGGTTCGATCGAGTGCTCGTACGGAGGCGGAAGCGACTCGACGTCGACCAGGGTCGACGTGTGCATCTCGTCGTGCCGGCTGTCCCGCGTCCCCGTCAGGGTGAGGCTTGGGCTAGGGGTGCGACGCGAGCCCGAAGGACGTGAGACGCCAAAGAAGTCGTCGATTGGGTCCGACGTGTTCTCGTCGACGGACGCGCTCGCGTTCGATCGCGTAGGGTGGGTGCGAGCCGGAGAAGGCTGCGGGATCTGCGCCTCGACGTCAACTTCGGAGGTGGCCGCGCGGCTGAAGAGGCCGAAGATGGATGGGCGAGCGAGAGAGGTGTTGGAGGACGAGGGGACGGAGGCAGACATCGTGGAGCCTTGGGAGGGCGACTTGCTAGGTGATGTGGGAGGAGTGGTCGGGGTGGTCGAAGGGCTGGAGAGCGGATGAGGGGGCCATGCTGCTCGCCGTCGGGTGTATATATGCACGTTCGGGGCAGCAACCGAGCAAGACAAGTTTAGCCGGATGGAGGCAATTGCCAGAGTTCTCGGCGTCTAACGGTTGCGAAGGCGCGCGGAAGCCGAAGGGTCGGGATTGCGCCCAGACTAGCCTAAGTAAGGAACTCTGGGGCAAAGTGACACAAATAGTTGCATACCAGCCACGCTCTTTATGCTCGCCTATCAGAACTCTGCCGTAACGTCTGCCGTAAGCGAGTGCACCAATATGGCAATTCTCACTCGTTTCGACAAAATGGGGAATTCGTCGTGAACCGTCGGCTAATGGACAAAGACACGAGGCTATTGAACGCACTGCCGTTATGTCATTATGAAATCCAACTCCCCAGCCTTCAAAGCAAACGTCCCGTCGCGCCCTGAAAAATGAGGACGTTAGCCCACCGCGAGGGTCGAACTCGCAGCCTTCAGATGCCCGTTACCGCCGAGCGGATAAAAGTCTGACGCTCTGGCCGATTGAGCTAGGCGGGCATGCGATAATGATGCCCACTTGTGTTTGTATTAGCAACGCAATACCACTGCGTAATTCTCGGACTTGCTACTATCGGATAGTGTGCTGTAATGGCCCCAATGGGGCTCGCAGCACTAACATCAATAGCGACTGAGCGTCACTGACCACGGTCTCCAGATAGCTCACTCCACCCGCCGCCCGACAGGCAGAACGACCAAGGATGCCCTTGGAGGTGAGAATAGATACTGCAGCTGCGTGCCACTGCATGCCCGTGTGGCAGCGGGCCCGAATGATGCCGCCTTCGGCAAAGCGCGCTGATTAGGCCAGAAGAGGCACCTGGGGACGATCACAGGCCTCGCGCTGAGGGAAGGTGCTGTCGAGGACAACATAGGGAGATCTAACGCAGAAGCCGCGATCGAGACAGATCCAGAGATATCTTCACATTCGGAGTAGAGAGCTCCATATCGGCGAGCGTCCTTTGTTGGGCTAAATGGCCGGGGCGCTAGAGGGCTCGTCCGGTGAATGATGCGCATTGCACAGGGCCTGGCAGAGAGCCCCGGGGCTCCTAGGTGGCGGAGAGCAAGGTGTGGGAGCCGGAGGAGAGGGTGCCGGCGGCCGCGCCGTCATGCCTGGGCGTCTAATCACGCCAGTTGCCTAAATCGGGCGAGCATGTTGGTGGACCTCGAACCTTGAGGTTAATGTGTCCCGGGGCGTGAAGAGGGACGCGACGACGCGTCACCGGCGCGGATGAAGCAGCCACGGACGAGCGGGCCCCCTCCGCGCGCCGTGGCTCGTGCGCAGGGCCGGCCGGGCGGCGGGCGGCGTGGCCTGGGGCCGGACAAGGTGCGTCGCCGCCGTCGCGGACTGGGTGTGGACGGAGGATCGTCCGTGCGCCGTGTGCTGGCGTCTCGTGCTGCCCGAAGCGGTGCGCCCATGCTATCGCTCTTCCCGATCTGGACGAGGGTGTGGCATGGACGCAGCTGGGGCTGTCGAACAGAAGACGGCCGTGATGGACGGGCTGTCCTCCGCTCCCAGGTATATATACCGCCCCTCCCCGCCCCCCGCCCTTCTTCCTCCGTCTGCACCCACGTCTTCCCGCCCCGGCCCAACCCTAATCGACAAGTACAAGCTTACCGAATACCCCGTAAATATTGCCGCCCGCGTCCGAAAGCCAACATCCTCCCAAGTACAGCTACTCGCTGCATCCTACTTTTCTTCCTTCTCCCCTCCAGCCTTAATTCCTCTCTCGTTACCGCACTCCTCGCATCTCTTCCTTCTCTAGGCCTCGTTACATCATGTCCGGCTCTCCCGCACTCGCACAGCTTTCTCCTGGTCGCTCTCCCTCGCTCTCTGCCGCTTTCCCCCGTTCTCCCTGCGACACGCCGTCGACTCCGCCCGCATCCGCCTGCATCTCACACGCTCCCCCTACTCCTCCAGATTCCTCGTCTCGCGCAGCGCCTAATGCCGCTTCGTCTCCGCTTTCGAACCCTAGCCCGAACACGTCCTCCGTCCTCTCTCTTTCTTCTACGCTCTCCGCTTCCGCACCTCAATTCCAGTCTCGCCTCTTAGATACACCTATCGACATCCACGATCTCTCCTCTGACGTCGACAGCGCGTCCGCCTCTGTCCAATCTCTCCCGCCTGCCGCCGATGGTGAAGACGCTGCTATATACCACGCGCTTGAATATGGTAGCCCGAGTGAGTTCGTTTCAACTCCAATACGTCTCTGATGGCACATTTAACATGTTTCAGCTCCTCCACAGGGCGCGTCCTTGCGCATGGTCGATCCCGACGGACTCCCTCCCGCGTTTGTTCCTGCTACCGCACGCGCCCTGTGTGCACAGGAGCCAGCGCTCACGGAGGTAGTAGCGCCCGTTGAGGCTCAGGGTCAAGGGCCCGCCTCGCAGCCACCAAATGTGTACATCAACGGACTTCCGCCCAACTTCCCTGAGGAGGACCTGCTCGCTATGACACGTCCATTTGGTAACGTCTTGAGTGTACGCACCTTCACCCGGCACGTGAGCGACAAGCCATCGTGAGTATCGTTTTACACAAGGTTATGGGTATTCGACCACCGGGAATTCCGTATTTCGCTACGGCATCTTCGCTCGGGGTGTCTGTGGGGTGTCCTACTCTGTCTGCTCCAACGTTGATGTGGCAAAGCTGACGATTTCCGTTACATGTCGGCCGATACAGTGGATATGGTTTTGTTCTGTAAGTGGGACTTCAAACGTTCACCTGAGGCGTACATACTCACCCGATTCAACTTAGCTTCGAGCGTTTGGATGCGGCGGAAAAGTGCATCGAGTCTCTTCGAAAGTATCGTAACCTACACCCTTCGTTCTCAAAGGTAAAGTCATCTCATCCAATGCAGAGCCTATGTTGACCTAATGTCACTCCAGCAAGTTCACAAGATTCCCGGCACCGACTATGCCACCGCACCCTCCGCATGCAACACTGGGCCCGCGGACTCGTTTAAAGCCAAGATGGAACAACTTCGTGACACAGCATCGACCAACCTCTACATGGAGGGCCTTCCTCTCTGCATCAACGAAGAAACCCTTCGAGCTTTGGTCACTCCGTATCGTATCATGAGCTCACGGTTCTTCCATACCCGCCTAAGTAGTCCCCCGAGAATCATCGCATTTGTTCGGTAAGTCATCGTTTATGCCAATACATCCGCATTGCCTCTCACGGATCCATCAGTCTCGAGACTCGCCAAGCGGCGGAAGACATCATCGAGCGTCTCCACGGTCGACTAGTCAGGGGATGGAACGATGCTGGCTGCAGGATCTCTGTCAGATTCGCGGATACTGCGGAACAGCGAGAGTTGCGAGTGAGTACAAAATGCCTCGCTCCCTTGGTTTCTATATTTTGACAATGCCCCCTCAGCGCACGGAGAGGCATACTCGAGAGGACGAGCAATCTCCGGCCCGTTTGACGATGGCGCGCGCGGCGTTGCTCAATCTGAAAGGCACGCAGTATCAGCCTAATGCTCAGTCTCCTCCGCTCGGTAATCTGCCTTTGGCTAGCCTCCAGAGTCCCGTCAGCCCTAGCCTTGGGCTGGCACTGAACAATCTCGCTCTTGGTCAACTGGGAGGGCAAGTTTCTCCTCTAGCAGGAACTTCACCTCTACAATCCCAGGAACCCTTCGTGCATGGATCCGTCGGTGGACCAGGTCTCAGCGCGCTTCCTTCGAGCTCTCCTACCTTTGATGGTCTCAACGCCCAGTTGTCTCACGTCCGTGGGCAGGACTTGCGTCTACCACTTCAAGTTCCCTCTGATAGCGTCAATGGGTTGATCGAAGATGACCAAGCTCAGCTTCGACTTGCCTTACTGGGCCTACAGGGCGTTCGGGCTAATGCTCAACATGGCTACACCCCGGTAGAACAGCTCATTCTCCAGGCCCACGCTCGGCAACACGCTCGCGCGCCGGGTGCCGCTCTTGCGAATGGACGACGCCTTCAGGTCCCTGCCGGATCAGGGCTAGGCGGCACGACCCCCAGCGCTCGGGAGGCCAATCGCCGTCTGCTCGACTGTCTGCCACAGATGTCGGAAGATGACTTCCACGCAACGGCTAGCCTACTTCAGGATCCACAGGGCGTTGTGTCTGCATTCCCGCGGGGCGTCGAAGCGGCTGCACTTGGCCGCCTCAGAGAGTCTCAGATCGCGTCGCTTCCACTCGATCTGGAACGTCAATTGAACATATCCGGACAACAAGTGCGCCAACGCAACCACACTTTAGCGGGACAGATCCGCGGAGACGGAGACGAACAGTCCTTCCACACTCGCTCATCCACACTCCCGTCTCAGTATGCCGGCGTCCGTAACCTTCTCGACGTCAATCCTCTCTTGTACGACTCTAGCGCTAGCCGCACCAACCTCAACGCAGCCAATAACGCTCAACTCCACGCCAGCATCGCGAACGGCTCTCGCATCTCCGGTGCCGCCGCTAAGAACATTCCCCATCCTTCTTCTATCAACACCCATAATACGCCGCGTCACACGAGCCTAGGTAATCTCGGTCCCAGCACACAGAATACCCATACGCTATTTACCAGCAAGAGCAACATCAATCTACCCAGCGCTGGTTCGCGCTCTACCCATAAAGTCGCACCCAAGGTCTCCACTGCGTCGTCTGCCTCGCGCGCTTCCGGTTCGGACTCGGCTGGCACCCAAGGACTACAGGGTGTTGGTGGAGGTGGAATTCCACCCGCCGTCTGCCCTTCAGGGATCCCAGAAGCTATGAATCAGCAGGGCACGGATGCCGACGACGAGGGTTCGCCTGTCGTCTCCCCAGCGCTCACATACTCCACTAGGACCCCAGCGTCTCTCAGTCCTGCAACGCCTTACTCCGGCTTCTTCTCTGACGGCGGGGACTCCTTCAAAGGAGCCACCCTCTCTTCCGGCTCCGGAAAAGACGCTGCGGAGTCGGTTCGCTCCGGCAAAGGCGTCGGGGAGGAGCAGAAGACGAACAGCCAGACAGCCTGAGCGCTGGGTGGTTATCCTGCCACAGTTTCGCGATTCGCTATTTTCACACACCTTGAGACCATTCCTAGCTATGTGTTTGTATGTTCGTATGATTGTTGTACGATTATTGTCCAGCCGCGTACCGTACCTCGGACTCGCGGAGCGTCGTTGAAGAGAACGCTTTTCGCGTAGTGTAGCTTCGTAACTGGCTGGGTAGAACAATACTGTTGTACGATGGGTAGAGAAGCATGAAACACGTACAAGTTGTAGACAAAATACTACCAGTTTATGTTTCATCTGCGCGCGTTAGCCCCAGTGAAAAGTCACGCTGCGCAGGTCTGCGCAGATATGCGCCGGCCGCAGATTTGCGCATATCTGCGCAGACTGACGCAGCGTGACTTTTGACTGGGCGTTAGCAGCGCAGTGGACGTGCGGCCAACCTGCTCTGGCTCTGGGCGCTATGACGCGCCTGAAGAACTTCCGTAAACAGACAAATACCGGATATGGAAGGTCTGGGAGCGGGGGATGTTTGGATCACTTTGTCTGGACA